GTGCGCCAAGCCTTAATTCGCAAATTATGGAAAACGTCTGTCAAGGCTATAATAAACAAGGATTCTTCATAATAACAACTACTCTGCCAAGATTAACCAATTATGATGATGAATTGTTCAAAAATAATAAACAGCGTTTTTTTTTTTTCTTAAAAAATAAATGCAAATCGGTATGTAGACGTAATATTTCTATGCATAGGCACCGTTAACATAAACATGACTTCACTTTGCATACTCAGGAATTTTATAGTAAATGTAAGTGATACCAAATCGCATTTTGAAGCACGCCAAGCCGTACCATTAAGGCATCTGCAGATGGAGCTTCGGTGCCGACGTTCAGCCGAGAATGTTCTAGATATTTGCATAGAGTACGCCTAGGGATGAGCAGTACGACTTTTATAAACTTTATATATTTATTTAATAACGCGTTTTCAACCTTTTTATTTCCATGTAACGCTTAATGGATTTCATATAATGATAATGTATCTCTTAGCTTGAGAGCTCTCTACAATTAATATTGCGTTGGAAGAAACAATACAAAAATAAAAATGTATTAATTTTTTATTTTATTTATTAAGTACCAACATGTTATATATCAGCACAGAACATTACAGGTATCGTATACATTGATTTCACACTAAATGCTAACACAATTACACTGCATGCATTGAAAAAAAAAAAATACCATTGCCATTACTTAATTGAAAAGCTCATTGAGCAAGGTTGTAGATTTCTCGCCTAAAACTTTCAACAGTGCCAGCAAAAACGTCCAGAGAATATTTGTTATGCAAATTATTTAATTCCCCAACTAGTCTGCTGAGAGGCGCGTTCTTACCGAGGTTGGTGTAGTATCTGGGAACCCTGAACACCATCAACTTTGAAGCTCTTGTCGACGTCAGCGGCACATTAAAGTTCAGAAGAGATAAGAGTTCGCATATGTATAACTAGCCCTCACTTCGCTTCGGAAACTGTAATTTATTATTGATTTCTCCACTATTTAATGGATGTTATTATACATATAAACCTTCCTCTTCAATCACTCTATCTATTAAAAAAAACCGCATCAAAATCCGTTGCGTAGTTTTAAAGATTTAAGCATATATAGGGACAGACAAAGCGATTTTGATCGACTAGTGATAGTGATAATATGTGATTAAACAGAATGATCGCATAGGGGAATATTTATAAAAAAAATATTAATATTCTTGAAACGGTTATAATATTATAAGAATGTAATTATCGGTATTACTTCGTAGGATTGAAGATGCGCCGCCACATTTACATCTAGTAAAGTCTAATTACATTAGTTTTTTTTTTTTTTTTTCTACCTATGCTGATAGCCTTGAGAGGCTATTTCAGCTTCACCCTAACGTTTGTAGGTGAGCTCGCGGGGCTCAACCGGAGAGTTGCTAACACTGACCCTAGCAAGAGCAGTACTTCGCAGAATCTATCACCGGATCGGAAACGCGACCCGCTGAGAAGACCCGGCGAGAAACTCAGTGGGTTCGACGAGGACGGTGACCGGTGCTTGTGGTGCCTAAAAGCACCGTTACTTTAAAGTAATCTTACAAGAATTTATAATAAGTAGAGGTCCCGCAGTAGTCGAAATTCGACTATAATTAATTGGAATTGTAAGTTTGCACACAATTACGATTGTATTTTCAACGCCAAGACTACACTATAGAAAAATATGAATAAAGACAAACAATATTTAATCTATTCTCAATTTGACCACAGACGTCAAGCACAAAAGTTTGACAAGAAATAAATAGTATGTATGCGTGTGTGTATCAAATACATGGTTAGTGTGTGTAATGTTTTCTTTATTAATTTAATGTATCTTTTATGTATTATTTAAAAAAAAAATTTGCATTGTGCAGTTCTTCTCTATATTCTGTATAAGTGTGGAAAATTTCATACTCCTCCGTCCGCGCAATTTTCGTAAAAAGGGATACAAAGTTTTTGCTTCACGTCTTAATATATAGATATTTTCAATCTCTAGTTTCGACACTGCACGGCACCGAGAATGTTCTCAATATTTCCATATATTAGGGTTGGCAGTACTGTGAAATAGATAATTTTAAATTTATGGAAATTAACGTAAATTACTCAGCTTATCACTCACAGTAAATGCCGAAAATAATAAATAATCCAGCTTGTTACGTATTTATTTTTAGTTTTATAACGTAGGTGAGTAAGGTCAATGCCCATCTGGCTTATCGCAGCCTATAGGCTATAGCCAATTTGGATGGCGCCATCCAACTATATGTCAGTGGTGGTAGGACCTCTTGTGAGTCCGCATGGGTAGGTACCACCACCCCGCCGGTGAGTCACCATCACTCATTGATGTCTGCAAGCCGTTGCCTACCGCTGAGTAATCTCCGTAAGCCTCGTTTGAAGAAGGTCAGTCTTTAGTCACGTTCCAGGGTACCCACTAGAAGAGGTGGGACGGTGCTATTTTGTGACTCCACACAGTCAATAGATTAAGCTAGGAACAGTTAATACTAACTAGGAACAGCTGAACCGTAAGTTATAATAAGACTACTTGTAGCAGAAGTGTCCCTTGTATATTTATAACTTTTAACGTGATTAAACATTCATAAAATCCTTGATTACTCACACAGTTGCTACCTGAAACCATTTTTCCGAAGCGCAGAGCGTTTCCAGAGTTTTTTTTTGGCTCTGGTGTATATTCATGAGCGACATTCCTAACACTCCATCATCGTGATCGTATGTCTATTTGCTTTCGTAAAATTTGATTCGATAAATGAAATAAAAACAATTTTAAGTCAAAAATAGCGAACTTTTCAACTCTACATTGAAAATCGAGATGAAAATAACATAAAAAACTTTAATAATATAATTTAGAGAAAAAGTGAACATTCAATTCAAATAATACGTTTAATCTCTATTGAGCTGGATATAAATCTCGGGCCGTTTCTACGCGTCTAATGAGAGGGTCTGTAGCACATGACGTCACGTAGCGTCGCGCAGACGGCCTAGTATTCATGAGGAGCTCGCAGGTCTCCGTACTAAAATCTAGAACACGTAATTCAAGGAACATTATTTAAAACGTGTACACATTTTACGATATTCAATATTTTTTTGTATTATAAATACATAGTCATCAAAACGGTAACCGTGTGTAGTATTTAGATTAAAGCTATTTAGTTCTTTTAACAGGCTAACCTAACATCCAAGGTAGGTGGCGGCATTTACATTGTACATATCTATGGGCTCCGGTAACCACTTAACACCAGGTGGGCCGTGAGCTCGTCCACCAACATAAGCAATAAAAAAAAACCAAACACATGCGATATGAATAAAATGGTACCTTTAATAGGGAAGTATAATGAAGGTGCAGTAGCAAAGTGTAGTCCGAATAAAATTAATATTTAGAGTTAGACGAATTAAGGTTCGCCTAATTCATCTAAAAAGCGATAAGAAAACATCGCTATGCTGTAAACAAAGAACTAGACTTTAAAAAAAAGTATTGTTACGCCGGTATGAGTAACGACATCTATCACCGAATAGCCGAACGAATATCGAAGGATCTAGTAGCATCAAGAACGCTCGAGAAGTACAACGCCGTCTATTTTCAAATAGTAGAAACACACATGGAAAATACTCGATATGTGGGGAATGTTCTCGATAATTCTAGGGGTATCGTATCGACTATAAAAACGTTGCAGAGATGGCATGCAGTCAGTGAGTAATCGGAACTAATCGAAGCGAAACAGAATTGAAAATTTTAAAGTGTTCAGTGTGTGTTCTAAGTGATAAATACAGTTTTAAGTTGTACTTTGGTAGAACATTTATTTATCCCGAACCACAGCGCGTAACAGTATCATGCACCTTAATTCCATCTTAATCATGATGTCTTAACCCCAAACTGCACGACTCAAGAATTTTGTTATCTTGAAATGCATTTCGAGTCTAATATTGTATTTGCTGTTGACTCCATGAATTTTTACTTTATTACCAGCCACACAATCTCAATTCCAGTTTACGCTTCAAAAGCGGTAAAATAGTTCGAAAACAACGAAACCGAAGAAAACTTATCTTGTTCAACACAAGGACTATTATATTAGGATGATTGAACACATCGCTACAATTTACAACCTGTTTTCATTTTACTCTTGATCCGCTCGAAGGAAAGCCATGGAGCAATGAATTAAGTCGCTTTTTGTATATAAGCAAATATTTATTTTACTTTATACGAAACTAAAATAATATCAATTTATCAAAATAAAATCAATTCCCTAAATATTGCATGAGCTATTGCACATATATTTGCACTTATGTATAGTTTGTATGTATTTTTTTTGTTTATGTGTTTAACTGATATTTCAATGCACCTACCATTATTTACTTTGCACTACCTTTGGTAGACTGGTCGAGAATGTCTTAGGCATTAAGTAAATAAATAATACATGAAATGTAAAACTAAAATATATAAAAATTACAAAATAATTAAATCATGGTTGTAATTTTTGTTGTAATTTTCTTGATACTCTAATTTTTCGATTAATTATTAAAACAAACTTAGATTAGAAATCTGATCCTAAAAATGGTTACGAAAATGTTTCCGACTTTGTGTCTAATGTCGAGTAATAAGACTGAAAATCGAGTCGCCTATAAAACTGACAAATGCACCCAACGATAGTACATTTTACGAACTCAGTGTGCAATAAAGTCGTAATGCTACATTGTTGAAGCGTTAATGCACTAAAGAGTTATTGTCTAAACTTGTTAACTGGCACCGTGTGAGAAGCACTACAATGTTATTGAAGTGATAAGACAGGGTATAAAAAAAATCTCATTCAAATTTGAGGACTAACAAGACGTTAATGCTACCGACATTCTTGTCATTAAGTTTATAGTTTCTTTTGCCTATGTAAGCAGGCGAGCATACGGCCCGCCTGATGAAGAGTAGCTACCGTCATTCGTGGATGTCAGCTACGCCAGAGGCACTACCAAGACATTGCCTACCGGTGAATATGATTCGCAAGCCTCGTTTGAGAATATATCAAAGCGCTCAAAAACACCGTAGAGGCAAGTTCATTCTAGAGCCGGATAGTAGGTACGTGGCAAAAAAGAGATCTAGTAACGTACTTTCCATGAACGCAGCGGTTCCAGATAGTATCAATTAAATCTGCTCTGGTGGCGGGAGGTGTTATGGTAAAAAATATACCTACTATACCTTCTAAAAACAATAGATGATTGTATAACAATATAAAAAGCTATATAACCCCTAGGCTCCAATGGTCAATGTGCCTCGCGTTACCATTTAAGCTAATCGCTAACTTTTGTCGTGATTATCCAATCCTATAACTAACACTCTCGAAGTAGGCGTCAAGCCTACAATTGGTCCTCCCCTAACCCATAGACACAGCCCACTAGTCTAGTCAACAAGTTCAAAAACGTGTTAAATAGACATAAAGCTCCTAAAAATATGTACGATAGCTCATTGGATGCGGAATGATGTCTACAAAAATGTTTTTTAAGGGCTTATTAGCACATAAAAAATTGCGATTGTTATAAACAAAATAAGATTTAAAAAAAAAGGAATTTGGTTTTTCCTTAATAATTTCTAAAAAAATTATATTTAAGGAATTTTGAAAAAAGATCCTGAAAGAGGGGGAAATTTCCAATAAAAAAGTCCCAACTCCCGGAATTCTATCTCTATTATTTATAAAAAAAATTTAACGCTGAAAATAGCGCTCCGCGAGGTCGTTACGGCATAGGCGCGCCGTCTAAAAAGCCGGTATATCACCTAAAATAATTTTTTTATAGTATTAAATAACAATTTAAAAATTTGAATAAATTATGGTGTAATCTAAACACTTGAACGAAAAAAACCTCGGTGAAAAAAAAATTTTA